TCTGCCATAATAACACTAAGAAGAAAACTTTGTTTGATATTGCTCAAGACAAAAGAAAAGAAAGACTTGATAACAAAGAAGATACTAAGAACAATATCAGTTTAGAAGTGGGTAATCCGCAAACTTCTAATACGCTTATGTCTTGTTAAGAGAAAGGGGTAATCCACTCTTACTCAAGAAAAAATAAAGCTCTGATATTATAAGTGTACTCTTGTCAATCTGTCAAGGACAAAGACTCGATGAGGGAAAATATACACCAAAAGGCTATCTCAATATAATAAGTCAAAATATAAACAAGTAGGTATATTAAAAGGAAATTGGAATGGCTATTGCCACAAGACAAGAAACTAAAGACTCTTGAACCTGGACTAGAAGCAAGAAAGGAGTTGACAAGAGTGAAGAAGCCTTCACTCTTGTCTCTATATATACTATCTAACTAGGGGCTACGTGGCGACGTTCTATAGGACCTCCAATATGTGTTGACTTTGTAGGACACATGCCTTGACTTACAAGGCAAGTTTTTCTACGTGTGGGCCACATAGTTAGCTTGATCTTCAAGCTAACAACATGTGTGGCACATGGCCAACTTGTTGACCACGTTTCTAATCCAAAAAGTCAATTAAAGACACCTATGAAGTCAAAGCAGCGTCTAGGAAGTTTCTAGGAAGCTTCTATATTAAATATTATAGAATTAACTTACTTTTATCTACTTTTACTTACTTCTACCTATTTCTATATGTAATTATTAACTTACATGATTATGGCCGTGACAGTAAGCTTGGTACTACTTCTTTGTTTTCTTTGCTTTTATTATTTTACTTATGAAAAATTGTGATTGAGAGAAGTATTGTTGAATTGATAGTTGTAGAATGGATTATGTCTTGAATCAAGATAGAAGTAGTAAGCCTTTGTGTTTTCTAGTTTGATAATTGATTTCAGATAGCTCAAGTAGAGTCAATTGTAACACTAACAAATCCAATTCATACAACCAGTCTTTCCCCATATTTGAACCTACCTCTATTAATTCAATTGCTTTGATATATTGAAGCTTGAATGCAACAAGAACAACAATTACCCATCGACACATTTTCTAGTTGTATTTGTTGGCTTCTTGAACTTGGAATCATCATGGCCCCCACTATTAACAATTGGTCATAATGACATTCTTCTCATACCTTTGTTCATACCAACGATACCTTTATCGTAGCTGGTCGAGCTTCTTTTACAAACATTTTTAATTCTGGTGGATGCAAATCGTTAATTAATATCGTCAATATAAACGCATCTGACATTTGATTATTTGACTATTTATAAAGTATATCTGCGATCTGGCCATAATAGGACTCTATTGATTCCCTAGTAAACATCTTGCTATTCATAAAACTTTCTCAAAGCCAATCTTCAAATCCAATTGGTCTAAAATGGATTAGAAAGGTGTTCTTCAAGGCCTCTCAATTGGGAAATCTACCCACTGGTTGTTGAATATACCATTCAAAAGCTGTATCATTGAAAGTTGCTAGCAACCATCTCAACCAAATATCTTCAATTCTACCATTATTAGCCACGCAAGTTGTCAAGAATTGAGATATATAGTGATCGAGATTACAGCCCGGCCAACCACTAAAAGTAGGTAATGGTGCCACACTTGTAGTTCAGTCTCCTACTGCTCCCATTTGTACTGCAATTAGTACTTCTAGTACTCCCACGGCCATTAGTGTTATCACTAGTCTCTTTGCTATTTGAATTTGAATTTTTCTTCGTTTGATTTTGCTTAGACCTACAATTCCTTTTTTTCGTTCTCGTAGAAGATTTCTTATGCGTAATCACTCTTGTCTTTCTTTTGCTTGTCGATTAATTCTTTGATAATCCTCTCTTTTATGATTAGCACTCATAATCTTTCATTTTTCTTTACAAAATCAATACTGCCTTGAATTATAACTCACATATTTGTAACCCTAAAAGTGGTTCTTTTCATGTTTTTATTCAACATATAATTCCATCTCCCATACAATAAATTTCTAACATTTCATATTGTTATCATTTCCCTGGCAACGGCGCCAAAATGTTGTTCTCGTTGTGTTCAAGCTTCAATATACTAAAGTAATTGAACTAATAGACGTGGGTTCAAACACGGGGAAAGACTGGTTATATAAATTGGGTCTGTTAGTGTCACAATTGACTATATTCGAGCTATCTGAAATCAATTATCAAACTACAAAACACCAAGGCTTACTACTTCCATCTTAATTCAACACATAATCCATTCTATGACTATCAATTCAATAATACTTCCATTTTCTTATCCGTTCATCTCGCACTTACTCTCTTTGTGGTTTATATATATTCAAATACTGATCTCTAATTTACTTATTGTATTCAGTTTCTCAATTCATCACACAGAATTCAATATCTCGGCTTACGACTATCACAGTCTGGCACTCCAAACTAACTTCTCAGTATTCAGAAACTATCCATTACTCCTCAACAACAAAGAAAAAAAAAGAGGTAGCACCAAGCTTGCCTTGGCTTATGACTATCACAGTCTGGCGTCGATCTCCCTTTCCTCAACCTCTTTATCCTACCAAAAGATGGACTGTCGGCTAGCAAATTCCAAAGGTTATGACCCTTTGAATTCTTAACCATTTATTCTACTAACAACCTATTGTTACCAACTAAATTGCCTAACCATCAGTCTAATTTTCAAGGTTATCAATAACCAACTAGTAAGTTACCACAAAGTTTATTTGTCTATTCTACAATCATCAAAACCAATTGAATCCATCGATGCATCCATGGTATGAACTTCACGAGCCTTAGCTGGTAGTTTTTTATTTTCTTGGAACATATTAATAAAATATTCTAAAGTATGGAATGCATGTGCTAAATGTCCAATCATTCCACACTTATGGCAAGAACGCATCTCTGATTTTTGTTTTCTACTATAATTAATAGTAGAATGTTTATTCTTTCCATATGGGTAGAAATGATCATAACTATGACTACCTTGATACATATAAGCACGTTTCTCATGTTTATATAATTTTTTCTTAGATTTTGAAATATTAAGTGCATGAGATTTAGGAACTGTAGTTTCAATAGGACAAGCTTCCGCATTGCGTAAGAGTAGCTCATTTTGCTTCTCTGCAAGAAGTAGATAGGATATGAGATTAGAATGACTCTGAAATTTCATATTTTTATATTGTTGTGCAAGCACAACAGATACATGAGGAAATATAGAGAGTTTTTTCAATCATTTCTTCTTCAGAGATGCTTTGTCCACATAATCGTAATTGTGAGACAATACTATATATTTTACTATTGAAAGCATTTAAATTTGGAAAATCCAAGACACTTAAATGTGTCCAATTATGATGTGCGCATGGAAGGAAAATGGTCTTTTGATGAACAAACCTGGATTTAAGATTCTTTCAAAGTTTTGTACGATCTTCCATTTCCAAATATTGATGTTGTAATGCAGCTATAAGATGACGACGAAGGAGAAGAAGTGCTTTCCAACAAATAGTAGGAGGAATAGAAATACTTATTATAAGAGATTCTTTAAATATAATGGCATCCAAGAGTTGTTCTGCAAATAAATTTACTTTTGCCATTTTTGTCCATAATAGATAATTGTTTCCATCCACAATCAATAGTGGAAATAAAAGAGCTTGAAAATATTGGGATGCATTGGTAATAGTTGGAACCATAGTAAAAGCAGTTGAAGATGTTGAAGCATTCATTATAAATAAATCTGTAAAGAAAATAAAAAATCAAGTAGAAAAGTTGAGTAAAATGTACCTTAAAATATAAAGTCAAATAGAATGATAAACTTGAATTTCAATTTTTTTTTTTTTTTTTTTTTTTTTTATATAGAAGAGATTGTAGATTAAGACAGCAGAACAACAGTAAGACGGTAGCAACAAGCAGTGGCGGGCGATAGTAGTAAGGTGGCAGGGTGGCAGCGATAGGCAGCAATAGCAATGGCGGCAGGGTGGGTGGCAGCAGCAGCGTCAGCATCAGCAGCAACAAGGTGGCAATGGCAGCAGTGGGAGCAGTGGATTTGGCTATTGTTCGGCAGCAGGCGCGAGGCATAGCAGGGAGCAAGCTGGGGTGAAGCTGGGCTGAATCCAATATTCTTAGCAAGTATTTTAAGCAAACAGGGCAGAGAGTGGAACAAGTGCTCTAAACAAGCAGCTAATGTGCGAGGGGCCAGCAAGAAGAGCAGTAAGATCATAAGGCAGACACTAAAAAAGAGTAGCAATAGGTTTGATGAATCAAGACTAGAGCAAAAAAAATTGTGATAGTGTATAGAAGAGAGCCGTGCTGATAACGTGTTGAGAATGTTTAGAAAGACACAAGAGTAATAGTAAGTAATACACACACACAAGAGTTGTAATAAGTCATACACACAAGAGGGTTTCTAAAGAGAGAGAGCTTCACACATAAAATTCTATTGATCTAGTTGTGTCTCGTATATAAGAAGAGAAAAGGAGAGAGGATAAACAATACTTCTCCACTAGACTCTAAATACTGTAGCTATGGTATTTACTATAGTCTCTCTCTATTTAGAAACCCTCTTGTGTATAAATAAATATTATGGAGAGCACCAGCTACATTTAATGATTTCACAAATATAACTCCATTGCTGAGAAGACACAATCGTTTGGTTCTTGTACAAAGATGATATGAAGTCCATTTCATATTGAAGTTTCCATGTCTTTTCTCACTTATGTTTGTTATGCATCTTTGGAAGAAAGATCTGGTGCATGAACATTTTCTTGAAGAGATTCATCCGCACATTACTCGAACACTTAGATACATTACATAACATTGCATCAATTTGATGACTTCATACATTTGAACATTTTGTCATTGACCTTTTGCTGTACACACAGCTCCTGTCCTATTATTTATGTACGTGTATATATAAATGTATATACATATATACAGAAAAGCAATGTTAACTAATTATAATCAGGTTGCACTTATTTAACAAGTTATAATAAAGAAGCTTAAATACTTATTACACATTGTAAAGTGTAAGATAGGGATATTAATTGGGTGTTACAGACCTCGATAACGTGCAGGTTTCAGGACTGGTGATAGTCCCTTGTGTCCTAATTCTGCACCTCCGTATCACATTTCAAGCTGTTCTTTTGCAGAGAGCGACCCCCTCATGCGAAGTTTTAATCAACCAACTCAAAACCCACTCCTATTCCATGCGATGTATTAATGCAGGGAATAAAACCTAACTACCAGAGACACTCGCTGACTTATTGATCAAAGGCCTGGTTGTGCAATCAGTAGCAGTCTGGGGTCAGGTGAGTATGAGACTAACTGTTGCCAAGCCTGTAATGAATAATAAATCTTTACAAATACCGTCGTACCTTAATCCACTAAAACCACCTCTCCTATTAATGTGAAATCACAGAAACAGTGTTAAGAAGAATAAGAAACAAGTCCCTCCCCCACCCCCGTCAACTGTTATCGAAGGCGCCTTGCTCGTACTCTTGCCCAGAATACTCCAGCATGAAAAAGAAGCTGTTGCCTTATATCAGACAAAAAGATGCACAACCCAAGCACTGCTGAGGCAGTAGTATGATGCCAGACCCTACGAATCGAGTTGACACAAACTTAAGCATACCTCTAACCTCTTAAACATGGCACAAGTCCGCATCCAAACCCAATCCCCTCTAATAGTGTAAGAGCGAGTACTTGACCCGCAACGAGATTTTGCCACCATCCACATCCATCTTTGCTCCAGTCACAAGCCAGTGCCCAGGCATATCTTGCGGCCCCTTTTTCATCTCTGTGATATCCACAAACTTCAGCAGCTTCAACGGTTGTGCCTTCGGCGTCTTGTTGCAGACAGCTGAATTGGGGTTGAATGGAGGCTGTAAACCAAGGAGAGGAGGAGTAGGGAAAACAAAAACGAAAATGTAAGTCAAAACTTCAAACAAGCTAATGCCAGAACCCCTTTTTACTAACCCAACCCGTACAAGGATGCTTGAGATACTACATAAGATAAAAATATCTGTGATAAAACTGTGTGATCACAGTCTGGACGCGACAATCACCGGTTCCATATATATAATGTTATCATAGCTTAAATAAAAATATTGATCCCTGTTAACCGTCACAAAGGAAGATATAACAGGTTATTAGTAATAGAAAATACTTCATTGCAGAGGGCACCCTAGGGCAAAACTGAGAAATGAGATGGCTTAAGAGATAAGAAGTCATACTGGAATTTGCTGTTGCTGTGTCTGTTGCTTCCCAGAAAAACCCAACTGTGAAAACAAGCCTGATTTCTGGGAGATGGCAGGAGTATTATCCCATACAGAGCGTCGAATGGAGCACTTTGGAACACGTGAAAATAAAAGCCTCAAGAAAAGAACGTTCTTGATCCCAAAGTCCCACACCTAGTCGACAATGCATAATGAACAAAATATCAGTAAATCTCATTATCAGATTCCTGTTTCATACGCATAGCGATTACTGGCAAGCACACAAAATCAAAAGTCAAATACCTACACCAAAACAACTAAGTTTTCTGAAATGTTAAGACTACAAGAAATACAGGATTAGTTGGAAATACCTGTAATTGCGCCCCAGTCACAATGTGAGCATCATTTGCTTCTCCAACCCACGATTCGTTGAATTCAATGGGAGCAGTGCTGACGTGGCTGAAGCCTTTCCACTGCACTGGTTCAAACCATCGCGTATCCTGCTCTTCGGGTGCTTTCCAAATGGGCTTTCCTATTGAAACATGGGTATCCCAATGGGGTTGCAATATCCGAGGAAGTGTTGTTAGATGCTGCAAATGAATTGCAAGTCTGTTACATTTTACACCTTCCAAGAAGAGACGGAGACCCGTTACTGGTCTTCTCCCCACCGAAACCTGCACCGAATCATACGAAAAACTATAAGGCTACATACGAGAGCATGGTCATAACTTTACTGGTTTGGATTTGAGTGATACAACCCCACAAAGATGTTGATGATGACATGAATGTCCGCACAAAAAAAAGTAATCTTCTCAGTAGTAGACAGTACTGAATCGCAAGTGGTGCGGCGACCAGACGAAAATTCCAGCATTACTTACAACTTGTGAAATGAAACAACAAAGGTTGAGTCCGGATTCCAATTCATGAGCGTAGAAAGTCATATTCTACCCTTTACTAACCTGATTCGTGCTCACGTACAATTTGGGACCCATCAAGCTGAACTGCATCGCTGGACAAACAGGTTCTTTTCTCCTAGGTCCAAGTGCCAGCTCAGCTAAAGAAGGTGACCATTGAGTTGGCAGCTGAAACTCCAAGAAATTTTGTAGCTCTTCAATAGGAGGCTTATCTGCATGAACATCAAGCTAATTAACACAATCGACAAAGAAAATCCTGGATCCAGTGTCCATTACTTGATTCATTCATCCTTTCAAATCATTACCTTGTGTAAATTCCACATCAGACGATTCCAGAGGCAGCAAAGAACTAGTTGCAACATTTCAATTCAACTCAAAGATGAAATATCCTCAAAGGACACGAGTAGTAACAATCAAAACTCCTGCACTGGCATGTTGTGAAAGAAGAAAAACAACTACTTCAAATATCTACAATGTCCATGACTCTAAGCTGCGGTAAGGAGAACGGATTTCAACTATTTCGACGTTGCAACTACAAAGCAGGAGCCAAACCTTTAATTTTACTTATTATCTTTAATTTTACTTTTAATCTTTACTTTTAAGCCAAGGAGAGAGAAAGAGAATGTCGTACATCTCATATATAAGTTGACAGCGTGACTTAAATAACCATTGCCAGGTATACCGCTTATCAATGAAGATATCGGCACAAATGTCATGGCAATGACATCGGGGGTTTCTGAAACTGTTGCGAGCCATCCCTGATGCGAATCCACCATGTTATCCCCTCCTCTGCGTCTAAAGATGATCTCTACACCCTGCAAGAAAATCAACCAATTTCTTCAATTGTTGAAATTCAATACTTGACCCTATGCACGCGAGCTTGATATATGGTAGGTCTACAATTTACCAATTATCCCCAGAAACCTCTCCGTTACGGGAGGAAGGACACTGTGCAAGTTTTGATAACCAGTTTTCTTCCTATTCACAATGGCTGTGCGTGGTACGTGCAATTGTCCATGAAAGGTACAGGAAAATCGAAACTTACCTCCTTAGATTGTGATGTAGACGGTGTCGGTATATTCAATCGAGCTGCCGTGCTGATTGGAGAAAATGAATCCATTACCTGCACTCAATAAAGCACACAGCATGTCACTAATCCAAAGGTCGCTCATGGCCACTACTAATTAGACTGAACTAGAGATTTTGAATGTTAGTCTGGACCAACTTTTACACCTACCAGAATCATAGTCTAATATTGGGTTAGCGCAAAGGTAAATTTCGAGCAAGTAAAAGCCTTTATGGTGCTTAATACATACTGCGTGAGTTTGCAGAGCAAGAAAAGCCGTCTATAAAGAAGACGGTTTGGAGACCAAAACACAAATGAAAAAAATGACACCACAATATGCTCAAAAGAAAACCCACCGGTTGTAGCCCAATATCAGTTCAAGCACTACTCATCTATGTACTGACCTATGAGTTACAGTTGATTTTCAAGAAAAGTTTCACAAAAAAGAAAGTGAAAAGAATTTCATATCCTTCAATTGAAATTGCCCAATGCGAACCTTATCCTTGCCAAGTCTCTCTCTCTGAGTGTTGTGGCCATTTGATTGACCAGTAAATCTCTTCTCAGCCGTGCTCTCCATAAGTTTCTGGACGTCGGTACTAGAAGTGGGTGAATTTTGATGCTGTTTAACATAAATCACGTCCTTCCCTCCAACTTGAAGACTTATAATGACGTGTGTCCCATATTTCTCTATAAAGCTGAGGAACAGTGCGAAAAATAAGATTTTAGCTCTTCAAGTAATCTTCAAGCGGTAATCATCCCCAAAAGTAAAAGAATAGCTACGACACTCTTTATTCACATGTGACTCACCACCATCGACAAGATTAATACTTCATCAAGGAAGCGTAAGAACACAAATAGGGCTAAACGAAAATGCTCAAACTGTCACCAAAAATGCCTTGCTTAGAGGCAAAGAAAAATCAATCAATTTGGGAGCGAGGAGACATCCATGATGCTTTATGTACCCGAAACAATCTGAGAATGAGAAGCCCTAGTGGGTACACCTCGCGAAAAAGATAGCATGACTAACCTGGCTAATGCCTTCGGCTCCCACGAAGATGGAATTGCTTTCCTAATTTCATCTCGTAAAGTCAAAGGGGACCTTGTCAGCTGCAAACTATAGAGTTTGACGAACCACCCATCCATTGCCAGAGCTTTAGTGGCATTTTGATCTGCTTGCCATGGACCATTGAAGTTGAACATACTGTTGAAAAGACCCAACGGCATCTTTCCATCAATGGCAGCAGCTTGGTTGAAACGACTGCACATCTGCACACAAAGGTGGCTCTCAGCATTGGTACAGACCCTATTATCATTATCAACTGTCTCATACTAAACAGTCTACAATATATATATATATATATATATATATATGCAATCATTGGTAGCCCTTGCCAGATCCTAGCTGTCAAATATTCATCGCTCTCGCTACTAACTGTACTCAATCAGGTTTTGCCCTGCCTACGCACAATTAAAAGTGTAATCGACACGAAGTCCAAAAGGCTGCAACCAGGAACAATATTTCGATTGAACAACTGATTTTTCTGTCATCTAGGCAACACACCAATAGCAGAGGCTCATTTCTCAAGGGGGAAGAGAACGGGCACCCCACGCAAACGCCGAAATGAAATTCGGGAGAATTTAATTTAGATCATATGAGTGGCTCAATGAGATTAGGTGATGTGGTTGAGAACAGGATCAAGCCGCAAACATAGCCCTTTCGGAACCTAACTACAGAGCAGCACGTTTTGAAGCCTAAAATCAGAATTACCACCGTCACTGAAAATTTTATTTCGTAGCTAGCACTATATTTAGAGTACAAAGATATTCGCAGTAAAGAATGATCAAGTCTGTTCAACCAAATACTGGACAATTAAAATCTCCGTACATGCATCGGATATGCTCAGCATAAAGATGACTAATTGAATTAGAGTCAGACGAGCTGGAACTTCCATCCCAACTAGGTAGCATCCAATGAACTTTAAGTCCTTCCGGGCAGCTCTGCAAGTCATAAAACGCACGAGACAGCCGCCAACCTTGCAAGCGAGGGGGTGTGTGTGTGGGAATGTCGTGATGCGCTCCTGGCTTGCTAACTACCGCAAATTGAGTTGCTGGAGAGGGCAAACTATAATCCTCAACAATACTCTCTCGACTTACTTCTCAAAAAATAAGTATCTCGAGGCGGATGGCAAGGTTAAGTTAGCATCAACGAAGAGCTCTTCATCAAGGACAAGATTCTACGATCAACTTTGCCCTGCTCCGAGCTGCTGGAGTAGATTCGATAGCCAGCTACTCAAGACAAGACTACCTAATGCTTCTTGTCGCTAAATCTGCAGCTCTGTAACACGGCCTGCCAATGATATCAACCTATATCTACCACGAATCTCAAGCAAAGGTCTGTCGAAGAGTTGAGGAGGAGTACCTGGGCGAATGGCAAGACCTCCGATGCATAGTGAGTTTTTTCACCTTTGTGACAACTGATGTCAACGGATACATTGGGAATCACAACATTCCCAGGCGCGACGATGTCCTGTGTGTTCGTTTCATCAATTTCAACCAAACGGGATCCAGAGGACCCCTTCGCAAATCCAAGACGGATATCTGAGGTGACGTCGAAACCCCTACCTAGTGCATTGGCAGCATCCACCGCAACCTTCCATGCGTATTGTGACCTCTTGGAGGGTGTACTGCGAGCCGGGACTGGAGTGGAATCGGATTGCGGGGTTGGCTGTGAGAACATTTCACTCTTACTTTGTACTGCTGTATCATCAGAGCCCGGGTAAATGGTTTTAAGACTATCTGCTTGTTGAGTGGGACCGTTTGCGCGTTTGGCAGGACTTTCAAACCCTCCACGGGTTGCACGCTGCCTCCTTGGATAAGCTGCTGGTTCAGGATCCACATGCTCCTCGATTCTGCCCGATCCGCGTGAAGAATCTCGTCCTGATTTGTAGGCAGCATAGACCCCAGGAGCCGACATGGAATGAGTATCTAACTCATACCTCCGAGCTTCCATAGTTGTAAGGAGACAACCATCCACTGTTTTATCGTATCTGCGCTGTTCACCTAAGTATACAAGGCAGTGTCAGCTTCAAAGTGTGCTGGGAGGACATCAAACTGCCATGTACTAGCACTTCCCATGTAAAACCTGAAAGAGGAGGTCGGTGGTCCAACTGCAACACAGTCCTAGTACATCGCCACTTGATGATAAGAGAATAGAAGGAGAAGGAAAGGGTTAAGAAAAACAGAGAGAAACAAAACGATTAGCCGGACAGTGTTAAATCTGGGAAGCAATCTAAGGTCGCGCTACCCCGAATTTGAAGCGGGGAAGGGAAAGGAGGAGGAGGGAGGGAGGAGGGAAGGATATACAGACAGTTCAAATAAGTAAACCCTGGTTTCGGTGCTGGAGAAGTAGGTAAGCGTGACGAGGCCAGACAGACTAGCAGCAGGGAAGAAGAAGAAAGATGAAGGAAGGGTGGAGAGGCAGGGCATCCATGGTGGGAGGAGGAGGAGGAGAAACCAGGGCAGGGGAGGGAGTGATTGAAAGAAATGCAGCAAGTGGAGGGAGACGCAGGGTGATGGTACCGACAGATGACACGGTGATGACGGGAAGGAACGGTAACACAGACTCTCAAAGTCGAGGGGAGGGGACGGGGAGGGGAGGTATAGTGAGAGGGAGAAAAGAGCGGGGCGAAGCGGTCAATTCCGACGCATACACAACAACCTCATCAATCA